CTCTTCAGAAAACCTATACAGGGCCACTATGAGTCAGAACCAACTTGACAGCACTTAACAGCAACAGCTACAGCCTTTCATGGGGCCCCTGGGAGTTATGCTTCTAGAGTTGTTACAAGCATGAAACTCCTCCTTGTGCATGACAAGGATACAACCAGATTGGCTTCTGGTTGGTTCTGTGAACCATTGTATTGGTTGGTGCTTCTGGGCTGGCTCCCTGGCAGAACAATGTCTGGCGTTTGTCTGCCAGCATCTCTTATGTCCAGTCTTAAGCCCTCCTAAGTAGAGCTGTATCAAGTGTGCCTGTGCTTGTCTTCTGAGCCTCAATGATCTGTTGAAGACCGCTGATAGGCATGGCAGAGTGAACTCTGGCAAACTTTTTGCTTCCATGTATATTTATCCTCATCTATAAAATGGGGTCTACCATTCGTCTGTCAGTTTGTCATACTGTGGTGGCTTGTGTGTTACTGTGATTCTGCAAGCTATGCCACAGGTACTTTAAATACCAGCAGGGTCACCTATGGTAGACAGGTTTCAGCTGAGCTTCTAGATGTAGACAGAGTAGGAAGGAGGAGAGACAGACTACTTCTGAATCTTTAATCACTAAAAACCTTATGAACAGTAGTGGAATACTCTCATCCCAGAATATTGAATGTTAAAACATGACGAAGAGCACCAGAACATTATCAGATACACTGCTGGAAGATGAGCCCCTCAGGTTGGAAGGCACTCAAAATACAACTGGGGAAGAGCTGCTTCCTCAAAGTGGAGTTGACCATGATGATGCGAATGGAATAAAGCCTTCAGGAACTTCATTTGCTGATGGAGCACAACTCAAAATCAAGAGAAACAGCTGCAAACATCCATTAATAATCAAAACATAGAATCTTTGAAATATAAATCTAGGAAAATTGGAAATTGTCAAAAATGAAATGGATCACATAAAGATCCATACCCTAGGCATTAGTGAGCTGAAATGGATGGGTAGTTGCCATTTTGAATTAGATGATCACATGGTTTACTATGCCAGGAATGACAGATTGAAGAGGAATGGTGTCACATTCATCACCAAAAAGAAAATTTCAAGATCTGTCTTAAAGTACAATGCTGTATGTAATAAGATAATATCCATATGCCTACAAGGAAAACCAGTTAATAACATTATTATTCCAATATATGCACCAACCACTAAAGCCAATAATGACAGAATTTAAGAATTCTACCAACTTCTTCAGTCTGAAATTGACCAAACATGCAATCAAGATGTATTGATCATTACTAATGATTGGAATGCAAAGGTTGGCGGCAAAGAGGATCAATTGTTGGAAAATATGGCCTTGGTGATACAAACGATGCTGGAGATTGCATTACAGAATGCAAGACCAATGATTTCTTCATTGCACATACCTTTTTTAAACAACATAAAAGATGACTACACACATGGACCTCACCAGATAGAATACACAGAAATCAAATTGACTACATCTGTGGTAATAGATGGTTGAAAAGCTCCATAACATCAGCCAAAACAAGGCCTGGGGCAGATTGTGGAGCTGATCATTAATTGCTCATATGCAAATTCAGGAAGCTGAAGAAAATGCAAACAAACCCATGAGAGCCAAAATAAGACCTTGAACATATCCCACCCAAATTTAAAGATAAATTCAAGAACAGATTGATACATTAGACACTGAAGACCGACCGAAGACCAAAAGAATTGTGGGATGACATCAAGAACATCATACAGGAAGAAAGCAAAAGGTCATTAAGAGGGCAAGAAAGAAGGAAAAGACCACAAAGGATGTCAGAAAAGACTCTGAAACTTGTTCTCCAGGGGAGAGGTGCTAAAGCTAATGGAAGAAATGAGGAAGTTAAAAGAGCTGAGCAGAAATTCCAAAGGTCAACTCAAGAAGACAAAGTCAAGTATTATAATGAAATGTGCAAAGACCTGGAGTTAGAAAACCAAAAAGGAAAAACACGCTCAGCATTTCTCAAACTGAGGGAACTGAAGGAAAAATTCAAGCCTCAACTTGAAATATTGAAGGTTTTTATGGGCAAAATGTTGAATGATGCAGAAAGCATCGAAAGAAGTTGGAATACAGAGTCACTGTACCAAGAAGAAATGGTTGATGTTCAACCACTTCAAGAGGTAACATATGATCAAGAGCCAATGATCCTGAAGAAAGAATTCCAAGGTGCATTGAAGACATTGGCAAAGACTAAGACACCAGGAATAGATGGAATATAAATTGAAATCTTTCAATGAACTCATGTGGCATGGAGACTTTCACTCATCTATGCCAAGAAATTTGAAAGACAACTACGTGGTAAACTGTTCAGAAGAGATCCATATTTGTTCCCATTCCAAAGAGAGGTGACCCAACTGAATGCAGAAATCATCGGACAGTATCTTTGATATCCCATGAAAGTAAATTTTTACTAAAGGTAGTACAGAAATGGCTGCAAGCAAACATTGACAGAGAACTTTCAGAGGTTCAAGCTGCATTTAGAAGAGGACATGGAATGAGGGATATCATTGCTGACATCAAATGGATCTTGCCTGAAAGTAGAGAATACCAGAAAGATGTTTATCTGTGCTTTATTGACTATGCAAAAGCTTTTGATTATGTGGATAATGACAAAATATGGGCAACATTGCAGAGAATGAGTATTCCAGAACACTTAATTGTGCTCATGAGGAACCTGTACACAGACCAAGAAGCAGTTGTTTGAACAGAACGTGGGAACACTGAATGGTTTAAAATTAGGAAAAGTGTGTGCCAGGGTTATATTCTATCACCATACTTATTCAATCTGTATGCTGAGCATATAATCTGAGAAACTGAATTAAATGAAGAAAAATGTGGTATCAGAATTGGAAGAAGACTCACCAACCTGTGATATGCAGATGATGCAACCTTGCTTGCTAAAAGTGAAGAGGACTTAAAATAATTACTGTTGAAGATCAAAGACCATAGACTTTGGTATGGGTTGCATCTCAATGTAAAGAAAACAAAAGTCCTCACCACTGGACCAATAAACAACATCCATATAAATGGAGAAAAAAATAAAGTCAAAGATTTCAATCTGTACAGGTCAATCATCAAAATTCATGGAAGTAGCAGTCAAGAAATCAAATGATGTATTGCATTAGGCAAGTCTGCTGTACAAGACTTCTTTAAAGTGTTGAAGGGCAAAGATATCAGTTTGAGGACTAAGGTGTGACTGATCCAAGCCAGGGTATTTTCAGTAACCTCATAAGCATGTGAAAGTTGGATGTATATTCACTAATAAGGAAGACTGTAAATGAATTAATGCATTTGAGTTATGGTGTTGGAATAGAATATTAAAGGTACCATGGACTTCCAAAAGAATAAGCCAATCTGTGTTGGAAGAAGTAGAACCAGAATGTTCCTTAGAAGCCAGGATGGCCAGACTTGGTCTCTCATACTTGGAGAAGGATATCGTATTTGGTAAAGTGGAGGGTGGGAGAATAAGAAGAAGACCCCCAACTAGATGGATTAGTACAGTGGTGGCAGCAATGGACTCAGGCTTAGCAACGATTTTGAGGTTGGTGGGGGACCAGGCAGTGTTTCGTTCTGTTGTACATAAGGTTGCTATGAGTTGGTGCCAACTAAATGTCACCCAATAACAACAACAACAACAACATAAAATGAGGTGATATGAATAGATCTACCTTTAGAGTTGTTGGTGTTGTAATGTGTTTAGAACAGTGTCTAATACATAAATGTGTATACTGCCATTATTATTGTTGTTACTACTATTAAATGGAGTCCTGGGTGTCCTTTCTCCTCTGGTTCTAGATGCTTTTAACTTACTGTGTGGCTTTAGCCAAATGGCCTCATTCTCTGAAGACACAGGTTCTCATGGTACATTCTAGGCACTCCATTTCTTTGTTGACTGAATTGGTGAGTAGAGAAAGTTCACTAGATGCCCTTTAGGGTCTCTTCTGTTCTCAAATATATATTTTTGTGTGACATTGAACCAGAAAAGAAAGTTGAAGGAGGAGTCAGGGGAAAGGTGAGAATCTACCTTTAGAAAAAATGGCTTTAGGAGTCAGAAGTCAGAGGTTTGGAGTGGTGTGAAAAGAGGACAAGGGTCCTCAGGAGGAGTTTGAGGGGATTGGTAATCTCACTGACCCATGAAACCTAAAACCAAACCAGTTACAACAGGTCGATTGTGAATCTGACCCATGGTGACCCCCCCATGTGCAGAGTAGAACTGTGCTCTATGGGTTTGGGTCGTGATCTTTTGGAAGCAGATCACCAGGACTTTCTTCTAAGGTACCTCTGGATGGCTTCAGTCTGCCAACCTTTCAGTGAGTAGCTCAGCATTTAACCATTTGTGACTCATGGGTGAGAAGATGTAGAGAGATGTGGACGATTCTAACCCTACAGAGGAGTTGTTTCCAGGGCAGGGCTAAAAGCTCAAAGGGCAGAGGTATTTGGCCAAGAAAAGGTCAAAAATGGCAACGATTGATTGTTTTCAAGTATGTCTTTGAGGGAAACTGCAGAGTAGCATCATACCTCCCTGGATTGTCCTTTGAGGATACCATGCACAGCAATAGTGGTACTGAGACCTGACTTTCTGAACCACTCAGGGGAGGAGTTAGCAACAGGCTCACCCTAATGCTGTGTTTCTCCCTCCCTCCTTCAGGTCTGAATGTCGGTGCATTTTATGCCTTGTCCACTCTCCTGAATCGCATGGTGATCTTTCACTACCCGGTAAGGGAGTCCCTCAGATGTGCTGGGCTCGGAGGTCATGTGATTTCCAAGTCTTTCTCTGTGATTAACTCTGGCAGGGTGGCATGATGACATGGAGGGTGATGGTCCTGGGTCTCTCAGCCTCACCTCTGGTGGTGCTGAACTATGAGGGTGGCACCCTACGGAGTGCCTCTGAGCATCTTATTTCCTCTTCTGCAAAGGAAGCATAATGGCAAGGTGCTTTTTAGGATTAGAAAGTAAAAAATATCATGTGTGTACCTGTGTAATATATATAGCACAGGGTCTGGCAGCACAGTAGGTAAATCTGTGCATAAAGTCATGTATGAAATTTTTGTAAGTTATAGGTACGGTTTAATTTTGACTGTTGGGATGAGGTATTAAGGATCGTGGAGTAAGGAAAACCAAGGTCCAACCCTCTTGAAAGAACTAGGCTTTTGTGGATCCCCTAGATGGTGCAAATGGTTAAGTGCTCAATTACTAACCAAAAGGTTGGCAGTTCAGACTCACCAGGAGAAACTCCTTAAAGAAAGTCCTTTTCTTCCCAAAGGTCATAGGCTTGAAACCCCAGTGGGGTGCAGTCCTGCTCTGCAGGTGAGACCTCATGAGTCAGAGTGCATTCAACAGCAGGGGTTTCCCTTGAGGAGCTCGTGCTTGCAGAAGTGGTGGGCGATTAGGACTCAGTGTTCCAGTTTTGAAGCTCGACAGGTTCAAATTCTAGCTCTGCATTTAATACTATGTAACCTTGGGCTAGTAGGTTAATCTCCCTGTGCCTCAGTTTCTTCATCTGTAGAGTGGGAATGCAAAATCCTAACCTTCCGGTGAGGACTTGTGAGGATGAAATGAGATAGTGATGTAAAATCCTCATCCTGGTGCCTGGCTTATTCTAAAAGCATATATAAATGTTTTCTGTCTGTTCTTTCAGCCAGCTCAAAAGAACCTGAGAATGGAATATTTAAACATACATATTTCAGTTTCCCCATCTGTGAAATGGTAATAGTGATAAATACAAGAGGAGTGTTGCTGTAAGGATCAAAAATGTAAAGCTATCTAAAAGGGCTTCTAAGGATAGAATCCACCCTGTCACCCCAGCATCCAGTACCATCATGCACATCTGGTACTGTAGTAAAGTGGGAGGAGCAACTCTTCTGGGATTTTCTCCTCATTAGCAGTCCTTTACATGTCATTGTACTCTGATTGGCTGAGCTGGAGCCCAGGTGACTTGCCTTGGCTGCTTCTCCCATGGTGACTACATTCTGTCCAGTGTCTAGCAGTCAGCAGGGTGATCTCTGGGACTGTGATTTTTCCCAGGGGCAAGAAGTCAATGCTGGAAGAATTGGCTTAACCATCGTGCTTGCAGGGATGCTTGGAGCTATGATCTCAGGTATCTGGCTGGATAAATCCAAAACCTACAAGTAAGTGGCTATTCCTCTGGGAGTGGATATTGGGGGACCAATGTTTTTAACTGACAGTACAGATCCAAGTGTTTGTGTGTGGGAGCTGGGGATGGGGTCTAAGTGGTCTTGCTGGCAGTTCAAAGTCATCTTCTCTGAGCCTTTATAAAATGGGAGAAATAATACCTGCCCTACAAGCTCTCAGTGGGAGCTGTCCTCCCCCACCCCAAGTAGCTTTGTGAGTGGGGCAGATGAAGGAGAAATTAAAATAAATGTCCACAGTTGGAAAGTTTGTGGAAGCTTCAAACTGTGGAGATGAGGAGGTTAACTTCACTGCCCTGTTCCCATAGCTCCATCTTAGATGCTGTGGGATCAACCAAAGTACTCTGTGGTTAGTCTAGTCTGTAGTGTATTCTCTTGCAGTTGGGGTCCTGGAGTAACATTGTAGGATAAGCACTGAACTGCTAACTGAAAAGTTGGTGGTCCAAACCCACATACCAGCCACTCCTCAGAAATGCTGTACAGATGCTGCTATAAGTTGGAATCTACTCAATGGCACTTACCACCAACAATGATGTTCTAGATAGTGCAAGTAGTTAATCATACTGAAAGGCTGGAGGTTTGAGTACAGTCAGAGGTGCCTCAGAAGAAAGACGTGGTGATCTATTTCTCAAAACTCAGCAATTGAAAACTCTTTGGAGCGCTGTCCTACTCTGGTGATCTATTTCTCAAAACTCAGCAATTGAAAACTCTTTGGAGCGCTGTCCTACTCTGGTGATCTATTTCTCAAAACTCAGCAATTGAAAACTCTTCGGAGCGCTGTCCTACTCTGGTGATCTATTGCTCAAGAATCAGCAATTGAAAACTCTTTGGAGCGCTGTCCTACTCTGACACACGTGGTCACTGTGAGTTGCAATTGACTCGATGGCACCTGTTTGTTTTCTAACTTTTTATTGTGAAATGAGTGAAGGTTTTACCTTCAATAAATCATGCACTTCGTTTCACCTCAATGACTGCAATCCCTCAATGTAACACCATTCACCCCACATTCTCCTTGTGTTTCTTTGCTCTCACTTTGCCCAGCAGTTGGAAGTAGTAGCTGGATACCGGATACCATCTAGTAGTTCTGGTCTCAGGGTTGTGGACACTGACGTTCCTATTGTCCATTAGTCCACTGGACTAATTGTTTCCAAATGTCTTCAATTTTCATCACTTTTCTTTCCTCCGGACAGGGAGAGACCAATAGTTGCACCTTAGATAGCTGTTGATGCATTTTTAAGACCATCAAAGTAGGATGTAGCACATTGTCTTTGTGAACTGTGTTATGCCAAAGGTGTGTCCCCAAGGCTCAGTAACTCCTTCCCTCAAGGTGTTTGGTAATACCAAAGTTTTCATGACTTTACCCCTGTATGCTGCCAAACATTCATGGATGTATTAGCAGCAAAGATAAATACCCATGTACAGATAGATACCTTCTGTCAAACTGCTATGTATTTGTGGGTGTATTCCTCCTTCCACACCCATTCAGCTTGTGTGTCTCTCCATGCATCTACCTGTAGATCTCTGTTACTGTAGGACTGTATAGACTGTAACAGTAAAGAGCTCTGGTAGCGTAGTGGTTCCAAGTCAGGCTACTAACCTCAAGTACAGTAGTTCGAAACGACCAGCAGTTCCACGGGAGAAAGATGAGGCTTTCTGTTCCCATAAAGATTTACAGCCTCGGAAGCCCTATGCAGGGTCAGTATGGGTCAGAACCGACTCCACGGCACACCACCACCACCGTAGATAACAGTATTTACCTCTATTGCCTTTAACCCTCACACTTCTCCCTGTGTCTTCCCTAACGGCATCTGGTGGGTTATTTTATTTTATTTTTTTTGTTTGTTGTTCAATCTTGTAATTGCCTATATCTTGTTGGCAAATATTGTGCTATGCTTTGATCTGACTGATCAATACAAATTCTAAGATCTTCTCGTATGCCAGGATAGTCTAGGCATTCTTATTAGAAATGCAGATTTTGGTCCCCACCGACATGGGTGCCCATTTCAGCAGGAGAAACTGCATTTGTACAAAGTGACCTAGGTGCCTGCATTCAGCAGCCACTTTGCAGAGCATGGCTCTGGAGACCAGAGACCTAACATCCGTCCCTTCGTGTTGTGTTTTTTCCAGTGCTCCACATGCATTGGGTGCTCGGTTAACACTGGCTGTCAGGGCAGCTGCCAGGGTTGGCCTGCTCTAGGGTGGAGTGGCATTTCAGGCTGCTTTGTCAATGCCTCCAAAGTTCCCAGTGTCTGGAGGCGACACACAGTGGCAGACCTGTTCTCCGCCACACAGACCCACTTCTGTGAGGCCCTGGTCAGACCAGGTCTCACTCAGGCCACCCTAATCAAAGGCCAATTGAGGCCATTCTCGGGGCTGTGACTGCCTCGCTTAGCACAAGGACGAGGTGCCTGACCTTGCTTAATTCCCCTGGTGGAGCCTGGCCGCCGTCTAGTCTCTGCTCTCTGTAGTTGACTGTGGTGGCCAGATATGCGGGCAGTGAGGACTGGCCCCTCTCTAACCAGGGAACAGCACTGACTCTTTCTCCCGGACTTGTTCTGTAGCAGGAGAAGGGGGGATTGGAATGTTGACTGGGCTGGAATGTGAGTAGCCAGAGGATTCAGATGAATTAGAAAATGCTTGTCCTAAATCACCACTTTTCAGTACCATTTGATGTCTAAATCCAGCAGTCAGCCTGAAACACCAGCACTTAAGAGGACAGCTCTTGGCAGGATGAGAGAGCCCCGAGATCTGTGATTTTGATGTCAGTTTTCATTCTAAACAACAAACAAAGCAGTTGCTGTTGAGTCGATTCCAACTCATGTTAGCATCATGTGTATCCAAGCAGCACTGTGCTCAATAGGTTTTTCAGTGACTGATTTTGAAGTAGCTAGCCAAGCATTTCTTCTGAGGTTCCTCTGATTGAACTCGAACCATTAACTATTGTACCACCCAGGGTCTTCTTGCTTCCTAAGGGTCCCAGATTTGTCCAGTTTGATCTGGAAGCTAGAAATTGGGTGGTGAGGTCCTTTTATAGATAGCTGGGGTTATCCTTCAGTTTTCTAAACTGGTCAGTAGTTGAAGAGCTGTAACTAAAATAGACCAGCATCTGGCAAGCTTGTGGAGTCACTGAGAAAGATTGGTGTTTGTGAAGTGAAGCTCTTTTCTACCAGGTAGGTACAGATAGAAAGAACGTAGGATGGAGGGAAAAGGGAACCCTTCTAGCCACAGCGGTTGCTCTGGACCACAGGGTGGGAAGGGCATCCTTTGTATACTCGGCCCTTGAGCTTTTCCAAAGATGCAGCCACATAGTGCAGTGCTGTTCCTGTGTGCAGTAATAGAAGAGCACAGGGTTCAATTCCCAGCTCTGCTACTTACTCAAATAGCGACTTTGGACAACGAACTTAGTGCTCTGTGCCTCCTTTTGCTCACTTGTAAAATTGGGGATCGCCATATACTTCTTGCAGGGCTTTTGTAAAGATTTCCAAAAATAATACATGCCTAGAAAGTGCTTCACGTCATTTTTGGCACCCAATAAATGCAGGTGTTCATTCAATATAACCAGTGTCCCTCTCCTGGTGTTCCCACCATGCTCCTGGCTTTGAACCTTTGTCTTCTGAGTCCTGCAGCCCAGACCCTGTGCTCTGCAGTAAGCAGTGTGAGGGTCTGATTGCAGACAGAGGAGTCAGGCCAGCCGCAGAGTCCAGAGCGGACAGTGTGGGCAGAGAAGTACATGAGGGACACATGCAAGGGAGCGGCTGGAGGAGAAACCAGGGCTTTGCTGGTAGTACTTCTGGAGGGACCAAGAAAGGGAACTGTCACAGGCCAGGGCAGGCTGTTTTCTGAGGCAGAAGAATTGGGACTCAACAGGAAAAGTTCATCTGGGCTTCTGCAAGTGGCAACAGGAAAAACTCACAGATGACAGAGTACAAGATCACTGCTCAGCCTTGTCGTGGGGTCTTGGGACAAAGCAAAGCAGAGTCAGGTGGCTTCTGGGATGGTCTTGCACTTTATGCCAACAGAGCACAGCTGGTGTTTGTCTTGATGTCACATGGGGGTGGGCATGGGAGGACAAGGTTGTGCCCATCTTGTGTGTATATAAGTCAAGGGCAGCTTGGTCTGGTTGAGTGGGTTCTGCTGGAACATATAGCAATACATACAGCAATATGGCTTTACGTTCTCCTGGTCCTTCTCTTTGTAGCATTGACCACAAAACAATCCAGTAGTCATTTGTGTGATCATTTGGTTCAGTGTCCATCACACCCTTGGACAGAAAGTTCTATGAGGGCAGAAATCCCAGCACACAGCAGAGAATTTGATTCTGAGCAGATACCCTATAGATACTTGGAAAATGAGTCAATGAATGATGCTGTGAAAGCCAGGACAGTGTGATTCAACATCTTTGCCTCTACTTGTAGGGAGACAACCTTGGTGGTATATATCATGACTCTGGTGGGAATGGTGGTCTATACCTTCACCTTGAACCTGGGACACCTGTGGATAGTGTTCATCACAGCCGGCATGTTGGGGTAAGTTTTATTATTCACCTGTTTAAGTGGAAAACACCATTCTATTGCTCCTCGAGTTGCCAACATTTTAGGAAGCAATATTAACCCTTTCACTGACCTCTGGAGATGAAGAAATGGGGCCTAAGGAGTCTTGTTTATGTGTGACACTTCAAAAGGTAGCCTAGTGCTTACAGGGCCACCCCCATTGTTGGGATGGACTGAAGCATGAAGAAAAGACAGACTTCCAGGAGGTTAAGGGTGTTTAGAGGGTTTTGTCTGGTCTCGCAATCAGAAACTTTATGCCCCAGTCTTATTTCTGCTGCTGGCTCTCTGTTAGACTCCAGGGATGCCACTTAATCTCTCTGAGTCTCAGTTTCCCCATCTGGACATGAGGACAAGAGTGCCTGCCTCACAGAGTTGTTGGAAGGAGTGAGTGAGTGAGTGATAACATATATAAAGAAAGCAAGAAGTGTGGTGGTGCCGATGTAGGACGTGAGAATTTTCTAACCCTGTTGTATGAGGAAGCACAAAAAACAGTTGCCTTTCCACAAGTGGGTGTTTTTTAACAAAGAGAAATGTATTTTCTCATGGTTTAGGAGGTTCTAGGGGAAGGCTGTCTCTCTGTTGGCTCTGGAGGAAGGCCTTCTTTCTCTGAGATCCTGGGTAATTTTCATATGCCTTCCCATCTCTCCTCCCGCATCTCTGCTTCTTTCACTCTCATGAATGTAATCAAGACAACCCATTCTTGAATGGGATTATAACCAGGGCACAGAGGTTAGGGTTCACAGCACACACTTTTAGGGGGACACAGTTCAATCCATAACACCTAAGGGCTTCCAACTCCCAGCACAGGACCTGTGTACCCACGACACAGAAGCGTCTCAACTGAGGCCTGAATACATCAAGTATTCTATCCCTTTTGTATATGCTGATCCTGCCAGTCACTGATGGCTAGATGTAGAAGCAGGGAACCCCAGAGACCCCCCGAGCACAAGGCCTACACTTGGCTTCTGGGGACTCCCTTTCCTTGGAATGGCCATGTTGTGGATGACCAGATGTTTCAAGGCACTGGCATGTCTTGGTGGGAAAACAGGAAACAAGAAAGGAAGTGGTATGGAGGAGGGAGACTTCCACTGTCTTGTTCTGGGAGTTCTCCATCACCTTGTTTCTGTGATCTGACCTTCAGCTTCTTTATGACTGGCTATCTCCCATTGGGATTTGAGTTTGCTGTGGAGTTGACATACCCAGAATCAGAAGGCATGTCATCTGGCCTCCTCAACGTGTCTGCCCAGGTAGGCTCTTTATTATTTTTTTTTTTTTATTTAAGGTTTTTATTGTGGATTGAGTGAAAGTTTACAGGGCAGATCATCAGTTTTACATTCAACAAATCATACACCTTGTTTCATTATACTGATTATAATCCCTTCCATGTACCATCAGTTACAGTATTTCCATCTATCCACTTTAGCTTTTTAAAAAACACACGAACAAAAAAAACCACTCAGGCATATATAATAATTTACATCTCCAAAGGGCACATTCTATAAGTTTGTTCCTGGCCACCAGCTCTTAGTCC